GTACAGTTTGCTGTGTGACAGAGGCTGTCATGCACAGCTATTAGATGACAGAGGGAGGCTATTACACGCTGCATTAGGCTTCAAAGTGCTGATGCTTCCCTCAGTGGGGCCTTTACATGCATGCGCACATGCACATAAAAGCCGTCAAGGTCCCAATGGGTCATTGGTGGTGACCTTCTACGTCTGACAGAGGAGTGAAAGAAGAAATAAGAAGGAGCGAAGGAACGATTGATGACTGTTTAATCTGGAAGTAGGGAGTCATTACACACCGTCACTCATTCACTGGACTTATGACAAGTGGTAACCTGCTAATAAAGAGGAGAGTGAACCTTTACCCACCTGATGTGTCTGCACATGAAAGAGGTCCCACGCCCACCCGTCGCTGTTTGAAGGTAGTCCCGCGTCTTGGATGATTTTTTTTTTGTAATGCAGGATGCTTAAAGGGGGCGCTGTCCAAGATCGTCGAGGTTGATTCAATTTACAACACACACTGTCAGACAGACCACTCACGCGGACACACGCACACGCAGTGGGCTGCCTCCCATGCTTGTGTTGTGGATTAGTCAAAATCCTCTGACTGGCTGCTAAGCTGATTATGGGGGGTGTTCTGAATTGGTCATTTGGAAACACTGGAAAGACAGCACACACACACACACACACACACACACACACACACATGCACGCACAGACTCAAACTGTGAGACAGCTCAGCTTAATATTGTCTCTCCTGCTGGTCCAGGATGGTATAATATATGTTTGCGGTTTTGTCTGATACCTATCTATTCCTCCTCAGACAGATGGCGTAGGTCACTATACTGTCATGGTTTTCATCCCTATGGCGAAGCGTTTGTGCGTGAGTGTGTGTGTGTGTCTGTGAGCGAGAGAGATGGGGAGGAGGAGACTGAGATGAAGGCTGTTGGAACAGACTGAGGCGCAGATGGCTGTGTCCGGCAGAGACAGGAAATAGAGGTGACACCAGGTGGATGGTACCCTTGAGGATGACCCACACACACGCATTAGCCTAGCGGCCTGTCTCACATCATTTGAATTTAGTAGTTGTTAGATAGTGTGTAACCTCATTTAGTCCCGGAACAATTTTTAACAATTTTAATAATCGATTAACTGTCAAGTAATTCTGCCGTTTCGCGGTGAATCTGCAGACACATCTCTCCTCAGTCTTTGTGAGGCGTTGCCCCTCCCCCAACACAAACACTCTGTCATTGCCTTTTCCCAGACTGGGTTAGTAGAGCAGGCGGGGGCTGTAAACGGGCGAGGAGCTAGTTAACTTTTGATAAGCAGCCTTTTTTATTATTCATAGAGGGACCCCAACCCCCAATCTCCCAACGCTGCAACCCCTCTGCCACCACAGGAGAGGAATCAGAGCATGCGATGGTTGGACATGGCTGCTGGTGTCAGGAGGGTTAAGTGTTGCGACGTAGAACATCCTTCCGGAAAGATTGCTCATATATAACGGTAGATTCAGGTGGCAGGATTAGTTAAAAGTACTTTGGTCTGCGGTGAAATTGATAGTTCTATCATTGTTGGTGGTTTCCACCAGTTGGTTGACATGGGAGAATGACTCCCTCCGGTAGCTTTGCGACCCATGACCCCTGACCTGTGCACCCAGCTCACGGAGTGCGAGGAACCCTGACGAGAGCCCACATGGCTTAACACACACACACACACACACACACACACACACACACACACACACACACACCTTCCTCCAGCTGGGGAATGAAGCCTCCCGCTGGCTAGTAAAGGGTTAATGACTTCCTGATCTGAGTAGCTGTGCAGAGGAATTTACCCCCGCTGAGTTCTACCCACCGCAATAACTCCCTCCCTGTCACCCCCTTTACTCTTTTCTCCCTGAAGGGTGCAACATGGACAAGTAATGTGGATTTCCACACATCGATAAGAATCAAGTCCGCTCTCCTGTCCATCATAGCAGAGACCCCATGAAGTCACTGTGCCAACCAAGACATGTTTCAGCACATAACCCCCCCAATTAAACCACATATTGACGTTTTTTTACGGCTTCAACAAACAACATATGACCTGTTAGATGGTGAGATTTGGTGGGTGCTGGCTGGTAGACGAATGTGTTACCCAGTTTGGATGTAGCCAGGCAAGCTCTTTCCTCGTATTCAGTTTCATCTTAACTCCAAGAGCATTTCCTAAAATGTCCATCTATTCCTTTTAGGAGGCCTGTTCTGTATTCTTGAAACTTTGCTCATTCATTATTAAAAAGATTTTTACAAATGCTGATGGGAATATTTCCCCGAAGCACAGATTTTGGCCTTTTATGTCAGTGAGCCCTACTTTCAAAATCCATTTCCTGTGTCATCAGTGGAGCACGCAAAGAGCTGAAAACTCAGGGAAACCGTGGACCTTTTGAAAACGATGATGTAGACACTAGACACCCGCTTTCGCTACTTGATTGGGTCTTAACTGTCAGGACGTGTCCTTTCCCGATTCATCACGCCGCCGGAAGAAAACAAACCACAGCCTTGATTATCGAGTGACTACCAGCTTAATTTAACATAAATAACAGACGACAGGTGTTGCTGACCTTGTTGTCTGTACTAGCAGCTGTTGTGCAGTTAAATTCTGCATTTTATAATTCTACTACTGCCGACATGTGGAGGAAGCAGCTGTTAGTGCAGCGATTAGCGAGCGGCGTGTGTCCAGCGGCGTAACCAGCCCTACGGAGCGGACGTCTGAAGTCACGGTTAGAGGCTTTGACGGGGGGCGATGGACACAAAACGGAGGGCTTCACTTTTCTTATTAATGTTTATTTTGTGGGTGTGTGTGAAAACTAAAGGCTGGGAGGTCAGAGGCTTGCTTTCTTTGCTCGGCTGAAAGCATTCTTCAGCACTTTGTTCTCCATTATAAAGTTGGGCCAGAAGTGAATTTTACCAAAGGGACAACATTAACTTCAACCCCCTGAAGTCTCCTGTTCGTGGCTTATTTATGCTCCAGCACAGAGCAGCTCTTACATCCCTCCTGTCTCTCTCCTCACACAGCAGGTCTGCCGTGGTTTGGCTTCAGCTGGGTTTTCCATGTCTGAAAGTCACTAAACTCGTTAACTTGCCTCCTTAAGACGACACTGCTTTTCCGAAAGGTTTCAAGCTCTGGGTGAGAGAGGAAATGCCTGCATGAGATTTAGTGTGCGAGTCCGTGTGTGTGTTTGTTTTCAGAAGAAAGTCCAGACCCAAGGAAAAGACATTGGCTGGAATCTTTCCATTCCTGCAATAGTTTTCCCTCCAACACTTACTGTACTGTAATTCTATCTTTTCCTCTACTCCGCTCCACACTTGCTCGTGTGCGTGTGTAAATGTGCGTGTGTGTGCGTGTGTGTGTAGTGCAGCAGTATTAGTCAGGCATGTCTGGAACTAATAGATTCCACCCTTCTGAAGAATCTTAATAGGAAATACAACCTGCAACCTGAGGCTTCAGACTACCTTTTCATTCAACTGCCTTAAAATCACGTCCCATAGCATCGTCATCCATTTGCGCACACACACACACCCACACACACAGTCTTCAGCCTGCGAACCCCTGGCCTAGTTTCTCTCCTCCTGTCTCTCTCCCCTCTTTTCCAGCCTGGTTTCAGGTTCGGAGGTTTATATTGGTGAACTCCACAGCTGCCTGTTTTTCTTCAGGCCCTTTCATTTGAAGAAACAGACACGCACACCTCAGTCCAACCCCCCCATCCTGCCACACACACACACACACACACACACACACACACACACACATATATGCTTCCTGTAGTTGTTTTAGTACGACCCTACCCTCCCGTGTGCTCCCTACTGGCAATGAACTGGTCAGACTGACTTCCTTTCTCTCTGTCCTGTCTTCCTGTGTGTATAGGGATGAATGGACATATTATTCACAGTGACGCAGTGCCCCCCCCCCCCATACACACACACCCTTACTCACCCTTTACACTGCTTTCTGTTCTTTCTCCTTTTCTTCTTTCATTCTTCTGAGGACAATAGTATGAGCTCACTGTGGTACAACTCAAAACCATTGCCCCCCCCCCCTCTTCTGCTCCCCCTCCTCTTCTGCACCGCTCTGTACTGCAGTATCAGCCCCCGGAGCAACAAAGACCAGGCCTTACTGCATAAACACAGTGTGTACACGCGCTCTCACGCACGCACACACCAAAACACAAACAGAGTGGGTGATACTCTCCCTCGCCAAAAGCTAGATCACCTGGTTGGTCCTCTTGGATTTCCTGGAACTAGTTAGCGGTTGAGCTGTGTTCTTGTGTTCCCGCTGTGTTCAGTGATTACCCGGCGCAGGTTGTTGGGCGCTCCACTGCTGGCGGAGAGGTTTGCCTTTCAAGGATTATCCCGGTTTGTACGACTTGAGTCTCATTTCCCTGGATTTGACCTTTTTGTGTCTGACGATTATGACAACACTGGACTCGCCAAAGTAATTGCTGAGATCTGGGAACATACAATGTTTTTGCAACCAGTTATATTCATCCAGTCATAGTGGGGCGGCTGACTGAATGACACTGGAAATCGCTTTAGTGCTCAGTATCAGAAACTGTACCAGGGGAATAAATGCATCCTAATCTCTGCAAATAAGTTTTGTATTTAGTAACAGGTATCATGGTCAGAAACTGCGAAAATGAAATGTGGGTCGTAATTAACCAGAATTTTCCTTTTTACTGAACATCATCTGTGTCTGTTTGTCGTTCCACTGTTGTTGTATCCTCCTGCTCCGGCCAGTTCAAGCCTTGTCTCGAACATTCACCACGTTTACTTGTTTAACAGTTGGTGTGTGTGTGTGTGTGTGTGTGTGTGTGTGTGTGTGTGTGTGTGTGTGTGTGTGTGTGTGTGT